GAGGAGGAGGAAGAGGAGGAGGAGGAGGAGGAGGAGGAGAAGGAGGAAAAGCAGGGAGAGGAGGAAGAGATTTTTGTTTCAAGGAACACATTTTTAAGAGGTTATCTCTTCTGTATAATTTTCTGTATTGAAAGATGCATAGATCTGATAGGTTTGATGTGTATTCCTTGTTGAATAAGCTGATCGTGAGAATGAATTATGAGGCCGTTAAAACATTAAGAATACAGATATACACTGCAAAAGATAGATGAATAGAATATAAGATACATTTGCCGTTTTGTCTGATGTCTCAAACATATTAAGAAGAGCAAAGGAGCGGGTTCTATTTTTAAGAGTAATAAATGGTTCCTGGACAATCTATGCTTGAGGTGCAACACCACCAACACGCTTCATTTCAGTGTTCTGGAAGACAAAAAACGTTAAGGATTCAATTGTTATAGAACTGAAGTGTTTAACTGAACGCCCCAAGATTCAATCAATTAAGGAAAAAGGAAAAACTTTTCATTGAGACTAATCAATCTGGTCTAGAGCTTTGATATATCTTACGCTCAAATTCAAACAAACAAAATTCCCCTCTCTATTATGATCACTTATTGGGGCAAAAGAGACCCACTTAGCACCTTTTGCGTACTTTAACAATATTCAACAGCGGTATGGTCACATAAAAAATAGAACGTTTTATCCTGCAAAGGTTAACCGCTTTAGAATGAGGAATCTTTAAGAGAGCGGGAAATTATTTTCGTCCTTCCAATCAGTTCTGCGTCAGGAAAAAGGAAATGTGTCGAAACTTATTAGAAAGTCATTACCTCTGATAAGGTTTCTGTCTCCCAGTCTTTCCCCTGGTAAGATAAAACAAATTTAACCTTATTCAGTGTTGGGTTTGTTTGGATTTATTTTTAGTTTTTTATTTGGCATGTCTGCTGTACTAAATAGGCTTGCTATAAAAGGTTGCAGGTCATCATTTTCTCTGTGGTCAGTTATAGAAGCTGATCCCATAATATGAGGTGTGGTTTTGATTACATATTTTTAGATTTTACGTGTCAAAAGGGGCTTTTAGGCTAATTATCACCCTGTCCTTCAGTAGCAGTCAATATTGTCGCACTGATGTTCGTGGGTGCAGCTATTTTCAAGCTTTTTCAACATGTAGGGTGACAAGAACCTTGAGCAATAGGGTGGGTTAGTCTCTCTGGAAGATTTCTTCTCGCGTTTGCATGAGTGAGTGTGTCGTGTGTGTGTGTGTGTGTGTGTGTGTATGTGTGTGTGTGTGTGTGTGTGTGTGTTTGTGTGTGTGTGTGTGTGTTTGTGTGTAATGGTAAAAGAACAGCCTGTTTAAGTCTTAGTGTAATCCATAAAACTTGATGTGGTAAACAACGATGGCTAGGTGCAAGATTCCGCAAACGCCAGGAGTCGTTCATTCATCCATGGTGATACACAATCATAGAGTTATCTCCTTTTAAACTAGAGTCCATACGAGGTCACGTGGCACGGAAACATTTGAGTTTGTTGGCGGCAATTTTTCAGTTGGCGAAAACGTTTGTTTACTTGTGAGTGGGCGTGTCTCTGCTCTTACGTGTTCTATTTGATTCTAACGTGATGTTTCAATCCAAAGTGATTCTCTTAAAAGTGCAAGCATGTGAAACCTCTAGATCTTGATCTAGATCTAGTCCCTTTCTGGATTAACGTCTATTGGGTCCAATTGTGTATACGTTATGTACACAGCTGCTTGGAGCTGTGATTAGAAAGCACAGTTGAGTATGAATTATCACATGGCCTACGCAGATGATACACAGTTGTATAAATCTGTTCCACCACCAGATGTTAAAACCTTGCCTGCCGCCATGGGTATGTGCATTGATGATGTCAAGAACTGGATGATTGATAATACGCTCAAGCTTAATGACAATAATACTGAAACTCGTTTATGTAACCCAAAGAAAAGCCATAGACGTCGAGATCTAGATGTAGATATATAGATCTCTAGATCTAGATCATGTTAGTACGATGTGAAAGCGTGTGCTTGTGTGTGCTTGTGTGTGTGTGTGTGTTTGTGTGTGTGTGTGTGTGTGTGTGTGTGTGTGTGTGTGTGTGATGTGTGTGCGTGCGAGTGTGTGTGAGTGTGTGTGTGTGTGTGTGTGTGTGTGTGTGTGTGTGTGTGTGTGTGTGTGTGTGTGATTGTGTAAATATTGTTCAAACATGCATTTATGTAAAGCACCTAGATCTGTGTTCGTGGGCGCTATAGAAATGGTCTTATTATTATTATTATTATTATTATTATTATTATTATTATTATTATTATTATTATTATTATTATTATTATTATTGCAGCCTCAGAGACTTTTTTTAAACAATAAAACGAGACCAGAAAGGATGGTGCAACACTGCTGCGTTTATCAGTATACTTACAGATCCTCCAAAGGGACCCTTTTTTCATTTCACTGGTAAGATGAAGATTGATAAGAATTTTGACAGATTAGATCCAGATCTATGTTTTGAAGAAAATGTTCGAAAACATTAAGAGCCTGGTCTGATCAAAGCCTACCTTTCAGTTAATTGATATCAAATCTAACCACTGCAATTTTGCCTCGTCTTTGTGTTTAAATTACTTACTCAAACATCACAAAATCCAAGCTAGATCTCTTAATCTAAGGTACTAATTTCACTCACTTGACAATGACTCACTGACTTAAGATATATTAAACATAGTAGTATAACGGTATTATCAATCATAATTATTTTTATGGGATGATGATGGATTGGGAGCAGCCAAAGATAGGCTCGTGTCTAAAATGCATGATGTAAAGTATAGGATATCTATTATCTATTTGTGGTGGCCGAATTTTGCTATTCAAAAGGTTTTTTAATGGCTGCATCGATCGACATGCGGTTTTCGCCAAAAGATTCTTTAAAATATTCTCCAGATCATGACGCCCTTCGTTTTTTCAGTTTTGAGACAGTTTTGCTGCAAAAAGCTAAATTTCTTTATTTCGCCGATCGCTTTTGTAGGCCGACACTACTGCCTCTGTAATTTTAGAAAACCCGCCAGGTTTGTTTATTTCAAGTCGTACTTCCGTTCGATAGTGTCGCGCACTGTCGCGCAATACTGAGCACTATTTTCAGTGTGCGACCCGTATAGATCTAGCCTCATGTTTTCTTTTTTTACTTGGTGCTAAATTCGACTGTGATCCTTTCGTTTGATGCCCATCATCGCTTTTTCTTGACTCCTTTGTCAAATTCTTTGTCTTGCTACTGGGAACAATCAACACGCTTCTGTACAACCACGAAAGCGGAATAGAGAATCAATCTAGGCATCTATTATATATTTGGCAACTTGAAAACACATGTGTCTCTTTTCTCTCAAGAATTATTGCTCTATTCCAGTGTAAATATAGTAGAGCAATGATATTCAGTTGATGTTAATGCACCGATCATTCCTTTCATCGAAAGGGGGCCCAGCTAGTTGATATCTAAGCTTATTAGCGACAAAGGAAACCATAGTCAGAGTGCGCTTGGTTCTGAGCTTGCTATATGCACAGCGTATAATATGTGTTTGGCACATTTTCTATTGCTCGAATGAATTTAAACAACTCATCACTGCTTCTGTCAGGCAGATCAGTAATGTCTGTTTTTTTTAAATAACACCATCTATTTTTAGCTCATAATATGTTTTATAGACACAAATAGTCACACCGGTTGGGTTTTTTAAAAAATATAAAGAGCTATCAGCAAGGCTCTGGGCCATGTAAAGTTAAGGTTGACTAGCAGCAAGATCTTTATCTTTTTCACAATGGGCAGGTAATTTCTTTATCAAACAGTGTACTTTTTGATGTTTAGTTTAATTGAATTTTGTCCAAAAACACAATTAGTAAAGGTTTTTGTTTCAGTTATCACTACACTGTGTAGAAAAACAATTGACCAGGCTACAAAACAACACTTAGTTCACTTTTTTATCTTTAGTGAGTCCACAGTTGTCACAGTTGTTTTACGAATGTCTAAAATTAGACTTACTTAAAACAGCAATAGAAGGAGCTTTAGTTTACGTCTACTTTAGTTCTTAAAATCAATATAAACCAAAGTTTACTACATGCAGAAGAAAGCACTACTTATTTGGTATAGATCTACTTTTTAAGAAATAACTGAACGCAAGAATGAAAAATATAGTTTCCTGTTCAAATGCCACAAGGGAAAGTTTAACTCGATTTTTAAAGTACTAGTAGATCTACATGTATTTATCATTTGTTTGGCTGAATTTGCTCTCTGAAGAGCTTTTGCCTTCCTACATCTAATGGCAGAAAAACTCTGGAATTTTTCTCTATGGCTCATCTTGATTTAATTTAAAGCCAAATTTGGGGGGGGGGTATTGGGATTCGGGAGGAGTGAGAGAGCGTGGGGTGATTGGGAGGTTCCCTTGACACCCACATCTTTTCATACTTCTTTTTAAAAGTTCTATGGGCCCTATACACTTTGATTCAGTCAATAAGAAATAAACCACTTCGTAGATAAGTGCTGATGAAGAAATAAAGGGTTTTAAAAATAATTTTTTAAAGTCTAGATCTATATCTCTATCTCTATCTATACATTTGTTTGTAGATCTAGTTGTAGAAAGAAAGCTGTATTATTGCTATTTAGTAACCTAGATAGTACGCCCCGGCGACCATGTAAAAAAATAAATAAAAATTAAGAAGGACCAAGCCTCGCCTATGGCGTGTGAGGGAGAGAGAAAACATGCCTAACCCATTGCTTTAGCTTGAACTCCTTCACACAGCTCGCCAACTGAAACATGGTGGACGCTGCTGTCGAATGTGGCCATCGCGCAGCAAGGCGAAGGAGGGGCGTACTGTATCTAGTGCCTATAGTGTCTTTGTCTGTGTAAAGATAGATTTTACTCCACATATGATAGGTACTGTGATTTGAACAGTGTTCCGTCTTTTTGAAAAAAAAAATTATGGACGATGACCATCCACGAGATAGAAAAGATGGGCAGATTTCTCCGTCCCTCGGGTGCCTTGCTAAACCAGTGAGCCCAGCCGGAGGAGAAGCTGAGAACAGATATTACACTTTGATCTTAGCCAATAGGCCGAGAAGCGACTGAACTCCAGATTCGGGCGTCATGTAAAGAGTAAAACCGTGTCCGGTCAATCGCAAGGCAATTATTTCTTTTTGGTTAATATGCAAAAGGAACAATATTGTCACAACTGGTTAGGGCATTTAGACGTTACAGATTACATGCTGCCTTCACATTAATTGACACTCCCACGTCTCAGTCATTCTCACATAGAACATTAGAACACCAGCCTAATGGTACACGTTGACAAAGATATAAAATACAAACATGACATGGTTATTATTATCATGAAAATGACATAAACCAACGTAGAAGTGTCTCTACAAAGTGGAACAACTTAATAACTAAATGTCTTGCTAAGGGAATGAATTACGAGCACGTCGAATTATTTCCCTTACATAAAAGGCAAGGAGGCTGGATTTTGTTGTCGATATGTTATTCTGTTGGAGGATCCCTTTGACGTCATTCAGTCAAGTTTTGTGTGGTCTGCCCCTGCCAATGTACACTGACTATTTTGAGTTGTAAGCTCGTAAATCTTGTTTGTTTGATGACCTTCTCATCATTGTAAACAGAGAATGAAAAAGGGTATGATTAGGTAGATTTAGGTTTCAAAATATACACTGAACGCCAATAAAAATGCAACACTTCGTTCGCAGAGTCGGGACTGATTTCGATACATTGTCCTCCTTATTTGGGAGTACCCCCTTTAGACAAACTTGCAGATGAACACAATTCGAAACTCAATAAAGATCTCTCATTCTTAGTAAATTGTATTGCTATCATTAACAAGTATACAGACCAAACACTTCTTCATATTGATTTTATAACATTTTCAATGTTTTGTTGAGAAATTTTGTCCCACCCTCGCGGCAGCGCGGTCTACCAATAGCTGCAGATTCGCAAAGGAATTAATAATAGACTTTAGAGTAAAAAAAGACCAATTGCAACCACTATTTATTAAAGATGAAGAGGTGGAGGTGGTAAGCTCTTACAAGTATCTTGGTGTAACAATCGACAGCAAACTTGACTGGCATACCCACGCTGCTCTTGTGCATAAAAAAGTAAATCAAAGAATGTTTCTTTTAAGGAAATTAAGAAGTTTCCGTGTTGACAATAAGATTATGTCCCTTTTTTACCATTCTATGATGAAAGTGTGCTATTATTTTGTACTTGCTGCTGGGGTGGGAATTGTAAGGTGAAAGATAAAGAAAAATTTGACAGAACCATTAAGAAAGCCAGCAAGATCTCTGGATATGATTTTATTAGAATAGATGAAATGTATAACACCACACGCATAAGAAAGATAAAAAGCTTTGTAAACGACCCATTACACTCCTGTTCCACACAAATAGTAAGATCACGCAGCGGCAGATATGTACCTCCAAAAACAAAGAAAGAAAGATATAAAAGAAGTTTTTTACCATCTAGCATAAGGCTTTTGTCAGAATGAGCATAGATGTGTATTGCTCTTAGAGTATGTATCTGTATATAACTCCAAAGGTCTAGCATTTACATTCCTGCATGTGGTTGAATGATGCTTTTGATGTAAATGTACATTTAGTCAGCTTTACTTCTCCTTTCATATTGAATTTTAAGGAGAGTAATATATATAATTTAAAATTTTAAATATATACCTGCATGTGTTTTTACGGTCCTGTACAGCCATGGAAAATTTCCCTCTGGGATAATAAAGTACTATCTTATCTTATCTTATCTTATCAAATCGGCACACACTTAGCTGTTCAGACCAGACCATCAATGATTTATTTATAGAGGCACCAGCCATCCATGTCCAGGTGCTGTTTTAGCCTCTTTTTCATGTATGCGGATTAATAATATCTTTTTGCCAATTTATTGGTTCCGCTTCTATGTACCCCATATCTATGGTTCTCAACCTGGAAATCGCCTATAATTCGCTGTAATTGTTCACCCCCCCTCCCCCCACTCCCTCTCATCACCCCCCCCCCCTCCTCATAGTGTCATCATTTATGTTACCGTCTATTTTTATCGATAACACGTTTATGGATTAAGGGCGGTATTAATGATAATAAAGAAAAAAAAACCCCATCAATTAAATAATAAATAAATAAATAAATACATACATAAATAATAAATAAATAAATAAATGATGCTAATGATTATCATAATACAAATATTGATAATGAGAAGGAGAAGAAGAAGAAGAAAAAGAAGAAGAAGAAGAAGAAGAAGAAGAAGAAGAAGAAGAAGAAGAAGAAGAAGAAGAAGAAGAAGAAGAAGAAAAAGAAGAAGAAGAAGAAGAAGAAGAAGAAGAAGAAGAAGAAACACGGCCAAAACTACTACTTGGAATTCGCCGATTGTATGGGATCAGATACCTTGTATGAATACGTTAAATTAGGTAATTCAATCCATACAATTTGAGGTTGTATGTTCAGATCCACATTCTTTTTTTTTTTCAAGAGGAAAGCAGATGTCTATTCTCGATTTGTGTTTGGTCATTCTATTGAGTTACATCTATAAGACCAATCTCCTCGTGTTTTAAGGAGTGGAAATATGATGTATAAACTCAACTATTGCATTTTTGTTCTTTTTGTAGAGGGTCACATCCTTTTACCGACATCCTCTTGTGTAAGGAGTGGAAATAAAGATGTAGAGACCCATGTTTTAAATCACTTTCAACTTGTAAAGTTGCTTGTTTTTGTTTTGTTTTTTCGACATCATTTCCTCCATACTT